ATTTGACATATGGTACTTCAAAATTCCCTTCATTAAACCAAACAGGGTTTCCTTCCCTTTCCCCTTAACACCCCTGTCCCCCCCAAAAAAATCAGACAGTAGATTAATAATATTAAAGAAAGAACTATATTAGGGTAGGAAGATTCTCCTGAGGAATTCAAGTCCAAGCCTTCATTGGTAAAGCCCAATTCCAATTACGAGCACATGACAGAAGCCCCATGAGTGCAGACTAGGATGAGAACCCAGGTCTCTGACAGGCTGCCCTAGAAAAGGGGCAGACAAATTAGAAAAATATCATCCCTCAAGGCACACAGACTGGAGTTCAGCCCCTCCCCCGTCCACTCAGTGTCTCTGTGCAGGGCTTAGTGGAAGAACTCTATTCAATGGCCATGGGTCTCAGGACTCCCAAACTTATGCTCTTTTCCACCATGTTGCATTACCACCCACTTCGTGTTAGAAGAATAATTATGTTATAACTTATGGCATTTCAATTCTTATTCCTGGGTTTCTTGGTATTAGGGGTTCTCTGGACTAGTCCAGATCATTTAGAAGATCCTTGAGAAATCCTCTGAAGGCTGAGGGTCAGGTGAGCCTGCGCTGACTTGAGCCCCATGGTGCAGCGAAAGCAGACCAAGGCAAGCTGAGCAGCTGTTTCATTCACTCCCGTCTGCTGTTGGATAATCAGCATGTTTCCTGGAAGGGGCTCAGCCTCCCTTTGTTGCCAGTATCTCGGGTTATCACAAAGCCTCAAAGAATAGAGCTAATATCTACTTCCATTCATTTTCGATCTTTCCCACTGCAGGGAGTTGCTTCACCCTGCCATAATAATTGACCAAGACCTTGAGGTCTTATTCCGACACCATTTAAAAGATGCTCCAGATGCTCCAGTGGTTCAAACAATTATTAGCATCATTAGATTCAGTGTACTCTTTCCACAGCAATACAAGGTGACACTTACGGAGCCCCCAGCATGTGCCTCTTAGTCATCACAGCAGCACTGTGAAGGTTTATTAACCCCCCTGTACCACTGAGGGAGTTGAGGGATGGGGAGAGGAAGTAACTTGACCAAGGTCATATCATTAAATGGCAGAGCCAAAATTCAAACTCTGAAATCTGTTCTTTAAGCATATGTCATAATTCTGGCATGCTTATTAGAACGATTCTTACTCTAGTCATACTTCATATTTGTAACTGCATGGACAATGTCTCAAAGCTGTTTGGTTAAAATCATTGATTTGGAAATATAATGGATTTGTTGTCATTGCAAAATCATTGGAGGATTTTATTAAAGGTGCCGTTTTTCAGATACTGGAAATGCTCAAGATCAAATAGTTATGATTCAGCTTGTAGCTGTTTCCCCTAGACGGACGTCCACGCAGAACAACATTATTTCTAGGCCGATCTGCCTCGGGACGGCTAGTGTGAGTAGCCTTCTCTCTTGGGTTTCCAGTGACCTAGGATAAGCGCCGTTTGGAAAGACTACAAGAGGGAGGTTACGTTTTCTAGGGATGAGGAATGAAAGTCAAGCACGTTTTTCTGGAAGCAGAGAGCTCCCGAGGCAGTGCAATTCTCCACCCCCGACCAGCAGTCCCCCTACTCTGTCCCAACCCATCCCAGAACAGCTCCAGGCCTGGAGAGGCAAGTGTAGCTTTAGATCTTGCTGGGCTCGTCTAGAACAGCCCAGAAGGCCCTCCAACAACCTGCAATCACAAGCTCTGAGAACGTTTCAGGCTGAGCCACCTCGGTCAGGAGGGCTAAGAAGACTGCAGGTTCCTCCATCCCCCATCGGCCCACAGCAAAGAGGGAATGCCACTCCTCCCCAACTCAGTTCAAATTCCCTTTTGTGACTGTGGTCCGTCTCAAAGCCACTCTCATCATCAATGCAAACTCACATCAACTGCACACATTGTGTTTAAAGGATTACAAGGAGTCCCCAGCATGATTTATCCTAAGCTCAGCAGCTCTCCAGGGCTGATCCTGGGCCGGCTGCCTGCCCAGGCCAGCCCTGCAAGACATTACATGAATAGGGACAAAATTAGACATTTGCAAGGGCAGGTGTCAGGGCCCCGAGTGGGAGGCCATGTAATTAGGGAAGGATAGTGCCCACCCCAGGGGCTGCTCCATTTCCTGTCCCTATGGAGCTCTTCACCAATCAGAAAAGAGAATTCTTCAAAAACAGCTCCCCACCCCCTGGCTGGGAGCCGCCGATGGCTTCTCGGAAAATGTTTCCAGGCAGGTGATGAGCAGAGCCACAAAGGGAAACAACCACCCCAGGCAGGACAGGAGACACAGGAGCTCTGTGACCCTGACCCCTGGTACAGAATTCACCTGCTTGGTGAGGTAGACCCCAGTGCGCTTCACTGCCCTGCCCTGGTGCTTGGCCTGCTGATAGGACCCTGGCTCTGCGGGAGGCCACATAAGCGATTCCAGGTGCACGATGGGGCCATTTATAGCTGTGTCTCTGTCCTCAGGGCCTCTTCAAATGGAAGGTATTTGCATCAAGTAGGAATCATAAAATCAGAGACCTCTGGGGGGCTCTGAGCCAATCCCTATGTTTCCAGGTGAGCCACTTAAACTGATCTGAAAGAACTGTGCTTATCTGAGCCCTATTCATTCATGTATCCTTTCTTTTATTGGTTATTTTAAAAATCTCAGGCTTCCTTTAGAAAAATGTGAAATACAGGCATATATAAGGAAGGCCTTGAAAATCACCTGTCATCCCACTATTCCCTGCTCTTACACTTTTGGTTTCTGGCATGTTTTCCCCCTATGAATACAGACATTCTGTCCTGTTTATATACCACGTCTTCATCTTATTTCCTTAAGTTAAAATCCCAGGGGTGAATGAAATGCGTAAAGGGGATGGACTCCTCCTGACAATTTGCTGACTCACCTTGAAGCCTCCTGGGGCAAAATTACACAGCTTCCTCTGGGGAACTGTGAAAATACTCGTAAAAGTGTGTACACTGGACCAATGTTTTTATCAGTAACAATAGGGGTTGTAATCCTGACCTTCACTCTCAGGAAGTTCTTTCTGATATCTACAGTTAATCCCTTCTGCGGGCTTAACTTCAAACCTGTTCCTTCTTGTCTTGTTCTCAATGAAAGAACAAACAGCTGCTTCCCACTGTGCCCCTGACAGGCCTCCAGGAAGAAAACCTGTTGTCAAGTCTCTCCTCGCCCTCTGTGTCCTCCGGTGCTGCCTAAATGGAGCAGAGCCCTTTGCATTTGCTCAAGGCCCAGCGTGCCGCACAGGACTTTTGTCGTTTGTGTTCTCCAGCCTCAACGTCCCCGACAGAAAGCCTGTTCCCCTGACAGAGGACTCTGATGAAGGTGCGAGCAGAGACCAGCATAGAGATGACCTCACTTGTCCACAAGCAACACATTCCTATTTATACACTCGAGACTCAGTGTGGTACCACACTGAGTGCTGATTCATGGCCTAATGATTAAGTTGTACTTGGCCTTTACTGTGAATACGTAAAAAGAAAAAAAGTTTATATTGTCCATTTCAGAATCTCTTTGAGCTCTTCAAGAGAAAACTGTCCTTCTATAAATGGATTCCAGATCCATCATGAATCTTTTCAGGACTGTGAGTATGGGGAAGAGAGGAGACTGACTTTAATGATGTGTGAATCTAAAATGAGATGATTTTGGCCAACATCTTGAAGTCATCATCTAGGAACTGGCCTTTGGCTTTTGATAGAATTTGCCTTTCAAGCGACAAAATGGTAAGATTAGAGCATTTATCAGGCACTCACCATATGCCAGGCGCTAGGCTAAGCACTGTGTTTATGCTTACTTAACTCCTCACGGTTAACTCTATAAAACGGGTACTTTGCCCTGTTTTTCCAGGAGAAAACTGAAGGAATGAATGTACTTGTGAATGGATCTTAAAACATAACGTTTAGTTTAAAAAAAGTAAGAAGCAGAATGAGAAGAACAACAAAATACCATTTATAAAATTAAAAGACATGCATATAAAACAACACACATTTTGTAGGAATACAGGTAAATGGAACATTAAACATGTTAGAGTAGTTATTTACAGAGAAAAGGAGTGGGAAATGGGGATAAAAGGACATAAATAGATAACAAGAGGGGCCGTGTCCACAGCAATAAAGACAACATGCCATTAACTGAGCAGTACAGGCTTCTGAGGTCCAACTAAAGCACAACCCCAAAGCTTAGAGCAGGGAGTAGTAATAAACTGCTCCAGGTTAAACAGCCAAAGACCTGGACTCAAACCCAGGTGGCTCGCACCTGCCCCCATGCAGCAGGGCTGAACTAACCTGTGGACCTTCAATTCTTGGAAAGACATCTGCCACGTGGCAAAACCCCTTAGGCTTCAGCATTTATACAGTTTATATTTGATCTTGAGAAAAAGTGGATTCCCAGTATTTCTGACATGCCAAGCCTAAGTGTGAGCCATTTGTTCATCAAGTTTTTAATTGAGTGTTTATTATGTGCCAGGCACTGGGCCAGACAGAGGGCCAGCGGAGATGAAGGAGCCGGGACTCTGGCCTCAGTGAGCTCCCAGATACTGACCCCCTCTTTCCCTGCAGGCAGGCAGCAACTCCACTGTTAGAGCTTAGATATGCAGCTCGAATCTGCACATGACTTTCTAAAGCACCAACTAGCATTTCTTAAGACCGTTTAGATTTCCACAAAGAAACTGTGCTATGATGGTGGAAAACACTCATTGTCACTACTGGAAACTGATTTTTCTTGTAGCTAATCTTTCAAAACGGGTTGCCCAAGAAAGAGCACCTGTAACGACCACCTTGATAAATGTGGTAAGATCTGCCTTGTTGCCTCATGTGGTAACTTCTCTTTTCTGTGCCAGGAGGTAAATATTTTAGAGACACATCAGGAAGGAGGTCATCCTATATGGAAAGACTGAAATGTTGGAACAGGGATTTTTAGGGTGGTGTTGAGGAAGCCACAAAACCCCAGGGGTTCAGGCACGGTTTACACTCCCTTGAGGCCACCTGACTCACCTCGATCGTTTTGCAGGTGTCCTCCAGCTGGCTGATCACTCCCTGGACCCGATCATTGCTTCCCACAAGGACAGCAATGCCGTCGCTGAGCTCAGACTAATGGAGAGAAAAGAGGGATGCAAGATTTTAGGGGCTTTCTAGTCAACACTGACTGTGAGTTCATCTTAGTAGTGTCCTCATGGGTTCTTAATTTAGGGTCCATGGAACCCCCAGAGGAGGAACAGTGAGGCTGGGAGGCCTGAGAACCTCCTGATCTTGTAAATAAAATTCTGAATGGATGTGTGTATAAATGCATTTGTCTGGGAAGAAGTTTCGTAGTTTTCATCAAATTCTTAATAGAGACTGTGACCCTGCTAAAAACATTAAGAACACCGAATTATAGGCCATAGAGAATAGCACATTCAGGGTAAAGAATTCTAAGAATTGTTTATTGAATGAAGACCAAAATGTGACATCAGGGGCCCAAGATGAATTATTTGTCTAGTGCAGCTCAGAATCAGTTTTACTAGAGAAATATTCATTTATTCAACGTATACCTATTACGCATCCTCTTCATGCTAGATGCAAACAAATACTCATATTCTAGACCAAGTCATTACAAACTTAAAACTGTAACGTTCAACTGTTTCCAGAAAAAAAATTTCAACTTGAAATTCCTCTCAGGGCTCTTTGGACCCCGAAGCGATTCCGTTGTTCTTACTTACCCCCTCGCAAGGCTGGCCTCTGGAGCACAAGAAACACTGAATGAGTGGGACTCAGGAAACCTACGTGCTTGGTCCAACTCTGCCTTCAACTTCTCTATGATGTTGGGCAAAACATGTAATCAATTTGGACCTTCACTGTCTCACATATAAAGTGAGAAGACTGGACCAGAAGAGTGGTTGTAAAACATTTTAAAGCTGCAGAACCCTTTCTTCAAATGGAAGCTAATAAATAATCCCAATAGGTAAAAAGTGAGGTTGCTTTGGCCAAACCGGAGTGGGATGGAAGCTCTGCCAGCCTGCCTCTGTCCATCCCACATGGGCCTCAGGGCTCTGAGGGGAATGGTGTGACACAGGTACCATTCAGTTCTAACAGGTATGACTTGGGCGGGGGCAGGTAAAAGGGAAACGGGGGATAAGTCTTAAGTGGATTGAAAAATAAATAAATGTTATGGATATCTTGCTAAATCCTGCTTCTTTAGCAGTTAGTACTCACTGGTTGCAACTGGTGTTGCCCAAAGTTTGGTTTCCAAATTTAATTCCAACTCTATACTGTATTTGGTGTAAAACACTGACCAAATGTGGACTCTCTGATTTCTTACAGAAAGAAGCCGAGATGTGGAGCTTCTCAAATTCTAGATGCCAGGACTTGGTTGCAACTCTCTGAGCACACAACCCCACAGTTTATTTGCATCAAATGGATAAGCTTCTACTTGCCTGTGGGTGAAACCGGATTGGCAGGTGAGTGATAAGCTGGGACACCCTGTATTTGGTCAGAATGAGGGGTCTGAGGCCCTGGGGTGAGGGCATGGACGGTGCCCTCAGTGCTGGCCTAGGTTGAAAGGCTAGGAGGCCAGTTTAACCCAGGCTGGAGGGCCAGCCCAAGGGAACGTGTAACGCAATGTCACTCATTGTAATTCTACCAACTAGGAGTGCGCGAGAAAAGGCCTTGAGGAAGGCCAAAGGAATCTTTGGTTGGTGAATGAAGAAAAATGTTCTGAGTGGAGTAAAAAGTTATCCTTTTATTACCTATAGTCTGAACCTCAAATAATGTTTGAGCAGCTTGAGCTCGGACCGAGTCCCATAACAATGCACATCTTCAACAACCTCCAACGGGCGCAAACACAGCGACCCTTCCCCTCCGGACCCCTTCCTGACTCTCTGCATCTCTTCCCTCCCCCACCTTCCCCACCAGCCTGCAGGGCATTAAGCGCGTGGAGGGTGCGCAGCATCCCTTCCGGCTCTACGCTCCTCGCCCGCCCAGCCTCAGTGCCCTGTGGCCCTGCGCATTGGGCATCTCTCCTTGGGGGGCAGCGAGTCAATGACGCAGGCACTTGGAAGGGGCTTCGGAGGAGGGGCGGAAAGGCCTCTGTTACCTTCTGCCTCTGGAACACGTGAGTGAGGGGAGCCACCTGGCAGTCCTTGTGCGCCCCGAAGACCTTGCACAGAGAGCAGGTGGGCACTTCGCAGTTCAGACAGTAGATGTTGATGCGCTCATCTTCGTGCTCCTCACACAGGGGCTGGTCGGACTTCTTGTCTGGTCTGGGAGGAGATACGTGGATAAGTGTTAGCTCCGGCTGCGGCAGAGCTGAGCCGGGTGGCCCAACGGGGTGATCAGCATCGCATCCTACCCCGCAAGACCCTGTACCCACAGCAACCCTACCCCAGCAGACTTCCAGAGCCCCTTTCATGCGCTCAGAGCCCTCCAAATTCTCTACGGGTTTATCAGCAGTGTCCTGACAAATTTCCAACCAGCCTGGGGTTGGCTGGAGACTGTGGAGACACATGGAGACTGTGACCTGTAGCATTTGCCAATTTCTCTGGTGTGAGTATTCCCCCCATTGGCCGATTTCAAGGTTTAAAAACGGGCTAGTGCAATTCCTGAAAGCCGAGCACCGGATTCTTTCCTTAGGAGCTGCTTCAGCACCATCTCTACATGCTCACAAGTCTCTCAAGAGAGACTTTACAATTACGGGTAAAGAGGATAAGGTTGCCGATAAACAAAATGTCAAGTTTGCACCAGCTTTGGGGAGGCCCATTTGCCCCACCGCTGCAGCCTCTGGCCCCGGCAAAAGGAGTGAGCGTGGAGGTGGGCTGGGGGAGCCCAAATCTCTGATTATTCATCTCGGCGCTGGTTGGAAGTAGTTGTGTGTAAGTGCTTTTTTGATTTGTTTGGGTCTCCTCCTGCCATTAGCCCAGAAAATTAAAGGTACATGACTTCCTGCGGACTCGGCAGTGGTTAAGAGTGGGTAGTATGTGCTCAGTGAATGTGAACAATTACACTGAATACTTTAGGCAATAAGAAAAGTGCAAAATGTTGTTCTGGGACATGGTGGTACCCCGGAAGTCCAAACCTCACAGATAATCCGCAAGTTTCAGTTTTCCCAAACCAAACCAACCAAAACTTCTCAAAGCTGCCCAGGTCATAATGGAGCGTTGGGTTTGTATGTGCTAGTGAGATTTGCGCTTCCGGGGTACCACCATGTCCAAGCAATGAAGAAGCATGAGAGAGGTAGTGACAAATTATTGCTGCTTCAGGATAACCTCTTAGCTGCGAAATCACCTGGAGAGCCCAGGTTCACATCACGTGGTAGGACCTGGTATATTTCCCTAACCATCTTCGTGGTTTAGGTGTTAGAATACGTCAAGATCAAAATTATGTCACCTTGTGATGCTATAGGCTCCCTCTGGAGGTCATGGGGGGAAGGGTGGTTTTAGCTTACTTATACGAAGTCTGGAATTTTGATGTGTCCTATTCAAAGACTAAGGCTGTTCATAGTTTCCAGAATTGTTTGGAAAATTTAAATACAAATCCAAAATCTTTCCTCATCTTCCCAAACATATGACTATTTAGAAGCATCTCAGATTTGGAACTGAATTTTTATTTTATTGAAGTATAGTTGATTTACAATATCGTGTTAGTTTCAGGTGTACAGCAAAGTGATTCAGTTATACATATATATATTTCCAGATTATTTTCCATTATAGGTTTTTACAAGATATTGAATACAATTCCCTGCTCTATGCAGGATAATCCTTGTAGCTTATCTATTTTTTTAATATAGTAGTTTGTTTAATCCCATACTCCTAATTTATCCCTCTCCCCCTTCCCTTTCCCCTTTAGTAACCATAAATTTTTCTATGTCTGGTGTGAGTCTTTTTACGTTTTGTATATAGATTCATTTGTATTATTTTTTAGATTCCACATATAAGTGATATCATATAATATTTGTCTTTCTCTGTCTGACTTACTTCACTAAGTATAATATTCTCTAGGTCCATCCATGCTGCTGCAAATGGCAATATTTCATTCTTTTGTATGGCTGAATAATATTCCATTATATATATTATGGTCTATTTCCTCCACTGGAATGTGAGCTCTATGAGGGCAGGGGCCATGGTCTGTCTCCTTTTTTGCTGGGTTCCCAGTGCCTTGCACAGAGTAGGTGCTCAGTACATATTTGTTGAATGAATGAGAAGTAAAAGGGAATTTGCCAGATTCGTGGACAGTGTTCCCTGTGCTCTAACATAAAATCGCTCATCTGGAGAAGGCGTGTGAACTATGGGGAAAGCTTAGTCACTTGGCTCTCCTGAGTGGCAAAGGAAAAGACCAGACAACATCCTGAAGGCTCCACTTATAAATGACAAAGGCCTCCAGCGGTTATCTAGAGACTAGGAGTGGTGATTCAAAGGCTTCTCTACCTCTAAAACCTTCCCTCCCCTGTACCTCCGCCTCGTAATACATGGCAAGCAAGTGTCCAGAGCACATTAACTGGGAGATGGCACAGCTGATGCTACCGCGGCCCCTCTCCCCCAGGCATTTCCCGAGGGTAGCCTGCGTCCCACGTGCTGCTCTGATGTTAGCAGCTCTGACCAGGGACGATATTGTAGAGCTCAGATATTTGCAGGGTATGCAATACTGAAAATGTGGAAACAGCCATGGGCTCTTCATTTAGTTGTCGATTGTGATTACTTTTTCACGATGCAATACAGACCAAGGACTGCCTGCAATATTCCTTATTAAGTTGCTGTTGTTCAGGTGGCAACACAGGCCGAGAGGCATCCCCCACTTACAAATGGGTGTAGAATGAAAACCTTCAGACACCTTACGCCACATAACAGACTTGGGACAAATGTGGCATGTAGAATAAAGACGCAAAGGCAACTTCATGAGGAGAGGGAGTCCGAGCTCTCAGTTGTGGTTCGGGTCTCAGTACCAAATGCTGGCCGTGGCCCCCAGCCGTTCCGTGCAGGCTAGTCTCAGGGAGTCTGTAGCCTGTTCCCTCTGCTCTCTGGGGTTTCGGGGACCATCTTCAAGTTCCCTGAAGGATGGGCATCTGGTACTGATGATGCATTTCAGGCAGTACTTTGGGTTTTTTTAAACGTCTTTATTGGAGTATCATTGCTTTACATTGTTGTGTTAGTTTCTGCTGTATAACAAAGTGAATCAGCTGTACGTATACATATATCCCCATATCCCCTCCCTCTTGTGTCTCCCTCCCTCCCACCCTCCCTATCCCACCCCTCTAGGTGGTCACAAAGCACTGAGCTGATCTCCCTGGGCTATGCGGCTGCTTCCCACTAGCTATCTGTTTTACATTTGGTAGTGTATATATGTCCATGCCTCTCTCTCACTTCGTCTCAGCTTACCCTTCCCCCTCCCCGTGTCCTCAAGACCATTCTCTACGTCTGCATCTTTATTCCTGTGCTGCCCCTAGGGTCTTCAGAGCCATTTTTTTTTTTTTTAGATTCCATATATATGTGTTAGCATACGGTATTTGTTTTTCTCTTTCTGACTTACTTCACTCTGTATGACAGACTCTAGGTCCATCCACCTCACTCCAAATAACTCAATTTTGTTTCTTTTTATGGCTGAGTAATATTCCATTGTATATATGTTCCACATCTTCTTTATCCATTCATCTGTCAGTGGACACTTAGGTTGCTTCCATGTTCAGGCAGTACTTTTACAGTCAAACTGATCTCAAAGTTTAATCCCAACTCAGTTTCTCCAAGTGGTGGCCGTATGGCCTTAGGCGAGTTCCTTCAACTCTTTCAGGCTCAGCTTTTACTCATATCTGAAAATTGGACTAGGAGTCTTCTAATTAAATATGACAAAATGAACACATTTATTTATTTGTTTCCTGCTGAAATCCCACTAAAATAAGAGTAAGGGAATAAAAAGGTATAAATCAATAAGGACAAAAAATGAGCAAAATAACAGCAGAGGAGAGATGCAACCAAATGTTGGAAACTGGGAACAGCTGGACGAAGGGACGTGACCTGTTTGAAATGCATCTTGGTTCTGCTGGGAGCCTGCAGGGTAAAGGCACACAGGACAAGCTGCTCAAGCTTTACAGGCTCCCCCTGCAAAGGCCCTGGGACTGCAGAGGCCAGGCACCCAGGAGTGCAGGGCGGCGGGCGGGGGGGGGGGGACTGGAAAGAGGAGGACTTTTTGCATACTTTAGGTGATTGCTTGAGGATGTGCTCCACAAAAACAGTAGAGTAAACCAACAAAGAGGACGACAAAGGATCCAGGAAACAAGGGCTTCAACCCAGGGGAGAGTAAAAGAAAAGTAGAAGGTAAAGCCAACCACACGGGGGCTCAGCCCTAATTGTCTACAGTGAAGTCAATAGATAATGTCTAAAACTGAAAAACCAAAGAATAGGAGCCTGCTAGTAGCATACACACATCACTGGGTGATAAGTGGCAGAAGAACAGCTGAAAGAATTAAACGTGGCTGACTCTGGGGAGTGAGACTTGGGGGCAAAGAGAGAGTAGGGCAGGGAATGCAGCTCTCTTTCGAGGCCTTGTAGTGTGATTGGAATGTTTAAAATTATGCATATGCATAGGAATTACTTTGAATAAAATATTTAAAATACTCGTGAGAATTAAAGAATTACACATGATTCATGTGTATAACACCCTGAACGGTGGCTGACGCATATTCAACACATATTGGTTTGACTTGCTGTATTTTAAGGTTAATTATTATGTTCTTTTTTTTTGGCCGTGGGACATGTGGAATCCTTGCTCCCCGACCAGGGATTGAACCCGTGACCCCTGCAGTGGCAGCGCGGAGCCCTAGCCACTGGACCATCAGGGAAGTCCCGTTATGTGAAATTAGTTCCTTCTCGCATCGCCCCCCCCCCCCACCCCCCCGCAAGCTCTGGCTAGCTCAGCACCAGGCAGAATTCTAGATAAGAAGGCCAGGTCTTATTGAGACCTACAATCTCTAGCCATTCTGCGGGAGGCCAGAGTTGACCAGCCCCTGCCCTTTCTGCTTCCACCTTAATGTGGGCCAGGGTTCATCTCACTCTGTATTTCAAAGTTATTCCAGAGTCACCTCACATACCCTGAGGCTTAGGATTCTGGACTGGTAAATCTGCCAGCCCTCAGGGAACAACTGGGTTTATGTCCAAACATGTGCCCGAGCTCTCTGTACAATTTGTGGTTTTGCTACCAATTAAAAATGTCCCAAAGGCAAGTCTCAGGTTCAAGAAACAGCAGCAGAAGAAGAATCTGATAATCACAAAAACACCAGTATGCTACTCAGCTGTGAGCTTCATTGTTAGAGGTTGGTTCATTGCTTTTAATTTGTTCACCTAGGCACTAGTTTTGGCAGATGCATTGCATAGACTTTAAAGCCAGGATGTGTCATGTAGTGTTACGCTACAGATTTTAACATCTCCTCTTCTCGGGATTACATAACAATTATTGTTATTATTTCACATCATTCAAGCTCTCACTGTGGCAAGTAGCAAAACAGAAAATTATGGCAATAAATAGAACGTGTATGAAGATTTATGGTGTTGCTTAAACATCTGGTACTTACGGAGCAACTGCTCTGTGCGAGGCACTGTCGCAGGCACTGAATCAGTTGTTATATAAACAGCCTTAGTAATTAGTTGGTTATTAATTGGCTGGTTAACTTTTTTAAGAGACAGTGTATCTATTTGCATCTTAAAATAATGAAATAAAATGAGATCAGATCTTAATTACAGCAGCGGTACTTTCCTTCTTCTCAAGAGATTTTGGAAGCGAGGGAAATGGCCCACTCTGTATCTCTGCAGTATGTCATCAGCAATTCTTCTTCCCAGTGCCATCTATATCCCGGCACTATCTAATTTAGTTTTGAATCTTAAGCAGAAATGAATAGCCATAGCAATTATAATAATTATATGTTCGATTTATAGAACAGCTTTCCTTCTAAGAGCACAAGGCTCTTCGAGCCCTGCAGATGTCCCGTGAATCCGTGTCTCCTACTAGGAAGCACAGTGAGATCATTTCTAGATGGTCTCAGTATTGCTGTCAAGCGCTATGGACTTGACTGCCTTGTGTACAGTTGAAAAAGGGCTCCTCAACACCAGCACTTCTAGGAATGAACTCCCCCTGTGTTGTCTCTAGGAAAGGAACTCTGTAGCCAGTGTGATTCGATGAATAAGAAGCCCTTTTCAAAAAAATAAAAAATGACTGAGGTATATGCTGCGTGTCAATCAGCAGGTGCATGCCAACAGGATTCAGGAAGAATAACCTAGAGAATAGGGAAACAACCTGAGCTCCATCCTTTTTTTTTTCCTCCCCTGTCTCTAAACTCTAAGTTGCTAAATCCCAGGAGTCTACCTTGCTTTGCTACTTCCCAGAGTCACTACCATGACTAACGATGTCAGAGGATTTTGTTTTTATTATTATCCTCTAGATAATTTTTACATGAGACTGTCCAAACTAAGAACAGGCCGATTTGGGGAGATGCCATTTCTGTTCATTTTCTGTAGAGTTTTGCACTCTAATTTTTCTGCTGTGTAGAATCTGGAGCTATAAAGAAGCTGTGTAGTGCAGAAACGTCTACAAGGGATGTAATACAAGGCTGGGGGTAGGGCAGCATTATGCCTCTTTCAATATCACCATCTGGACTGGATTAGCGTTAATGAGTTACTTCATTCTGAAATTGATACAAAAGCATGGGCCCCAGCTTCCTTCTCTCCTCCCAAGAGCAACTCTCACTCCCATTGGGAAGGACTGACTTGGAAAAACATTTTCCTATAAAACAATTAGCCCCTGATTGGTAAACAAGCATTCAGTATAGCGACCCACTAAAACAAACAAACAAATAATGAAGACAAGCTTCAGATGTGTCTGACACACAGGAGAACCCTACCTGGTGGACTCCTGCTTGTAGATGTCAATGATATTTTCCACCAGCAGGTTCCTCTGAAGCCCGTAGATCCCATGTCTGTCCAAAACCACTTCGTGTCTGCAGGATGGGCAACGGAATCGGCCCCCCGAGGCCACAGTGCTACCTCCTCTTGTGGGCAAGTACGGGTTAGAGGCCTGTTCTCGCCAAGCAAGAAAAGAGGAATTGAGTAATGCCACAGGTAGCTTTTCAGAGGCTTCCCTTCACTCTCTGTTACACTAGGAACAACATCAACTCCTGCTTTCAGCTTGCTGTGAGATCGTCCGTTAGGGCGTTATCGGCAAGTGGTCCTGAAATGCAGGGCCAACACTTATCCACAGTCAAGTGCCATGTACCGTCTTCAGCATGAGGTGATTTTCCACCCAGCATTTTCGTAACCAAAAGTTCCAGCCAGAAACTCCAACATTAATGTCTTGGGCAGTAATTCATTTACAATTTTGAGACAGATTCAGTTTTTTTTAAACAAGTATGATTCTTGGTATTGAAATAAAATTAGATTTGAGAGTAAGAAGGAGGCTGACAGCAAAGTACAAAGCAAATCACTTTAAAACCTTTTTTTTTTTTTTTAACAAATGCAACCTTATACAGCTTTCTAAAGAAATTACCTCAAAGTTAAGCGCTTGATTCGGAGAAGAGGGAATCTTTTCCACCCCCTCCATTCCAAACAAACCTACCTGGAAAATGTCACTGGCACATTTCCTACACAGGTTATGCTGGCAGGGGAGAATGACCACGGGTTTCGTGAACATCTCTAAACAGATGGGACAGATGAGTTGCTTCTCCAAGTTATCCATGGTCTGCTGCTCTTTGGAAAAAGACTTGTAATTCAAAGATGCGCTCATCTCCTGGCCGTCCCTGTGTGCTCTGCCAGGGAAAGGGTGCTTCGAATGGTTTCTGCAAGTGATTCCTGGAAATAATTCCAAGGATTGTGTGATCAAGTGTCCTTTACATTTCTTTCCGTGGAGGACATTGTTTCAGGCCCAGGTTCAGAGTGGGGCTGGAGCTGTTTTTAGCAGCCGAGGGTCACATGACAGCAGACAGACTTGTCCGTATAAGCCAGTGACAGGAGGATGGATTCTGACAGGTGACAGAGAACAGGGGCCAACATTTCCACCCCAGGGAGTGAAGAGAGTGGGTGGGAAGGAGGATTACAAACTCCATTTAGACGGGGTTGTGAGGAGAGGGAGGTGAAGCTGACAGTTGTCAACAACAAATGCAAATGTTGGTGCCCAGTCGCTGAGCTATGCCCCCTGTGTGCAATCAGCAAGGGCTTGGTGATGGGCTTCTCCAGGACCAGGGAGAACATAGTCCAAGAGTCTCACTGTATAACGAATGTCATTTCCGTCTTGAGAATTTAGGAAGCAAGTCACCAAAAGTAGCATGATCATACTATCCTAGGTGAAAACAAATGAAGCATGTCTGCTTGGCATATCATTATCCTGGCTTCACAAGGGTAATCAACTAAAGAGACTTGCTTAGTGTTAAATATTTCATCTTTGTGAGGGTTGTGAAATGGGAAAAATTTCAACTTAAAAACTGATTTCAAACCTTTTCACCATAAAAGTATCCACAAAATTTAAAAAAAATCCAAACACCAGTTGATCCAATTTTTTTAAAAAAGAGTTGTATAATAAAGCTCTAGTATGCTCTTTTCTCTCTCTTTTTCCTAATCCTCCTTCATCATATACACCACCACCCCTACACACACCTAGAAACACAAAGAAAATTTGGCAATCTTTAAAAATTTTAGTTTGCTCCAACAATCAGTAATGAGGTAGTAACTGGCACATGGGGTGGCAGACCCATTATTTTATTTTGCCATATAGTGGGGGACAAATATCAGTGCCATTTTCAGTGGAAGTGAAAATGGAATCCCGCTTCCACACCTGGGTTTTATATGGTCTGAAATATCTGTACCCCTCTGCATTTGTCTGTATTTACCAAGTTGATTTTTTAAATGATAGTTTCCCTGGTCATTTCTGAGAATTCTTGGTCTACTCTTGAGTCATCAATTTCAATTTTGATATTGGCCAGGATTTTGTGAAACAACTGTTTCATCTATATGTTTTATTTAAAGATTTAAAATCAGATCAAAAATGAAATAAGAAACACATGTCTATTTTTTTTTGTGATGAATTTGCAGCTTTATTTCTCCTTGATTTAAAACACCCCATACAATGAACACATTTTGTTAACACAGCCCCAGGGTGCACTTAATTACCAGTAAGGAGTAGATCGTTGTGACTGGTTATGTGTGCCCTTAGTGCTGTGTGCACTGAGAGTTTATTGAGAATCTAATAAGCTCTATTAACTAATAATAAGTTATATGTATTCATAAACATTTCAGGGATCTTTGGAGAATTTTGTTATTCCTTTCAATGTCTGTTTAGCAACTACAGTGAATAAGGGAATTGGTGACATTGTTTTACTGAGTTAATTCAGTTCACCTAGCCTAGACAGTTAACTGTGTTTATTGTACATGGGCTGTGGAGGTCTGAGCAAAATAAGAGAGCTGTTTTCTAAGAAAGATGAAGTTTCTACTGTAAAAGACCTTGCAACCTAAGGAAAAGCACTTAAACTAATACTATACACTATAGGCAAGCCTATCCTTTTAAGAGGAATTCATTCTTTCAAAAAATATTTGTTGAGTGTTTATCATGTGTCTTGAAAGACGAACAAGATACAGGCTATTGTCCTCAAGGAGCTCAGTCTAATAAATAGTAGAGATAAGACATGCATATACAGAACCACAGTACAAAACAAAATGGGATAAAGAACTTCAGGGACTTCCCTTGTGGTCCAGTGGTTAAGACTCTGCGCTTCCGTGTTTGATCCCTGGTCGGGAAAGTAAGATCCCCATTCCATGCGGCACGGCCAAAAAAAAAGGACAGAGAATTCCAGAGTTGGAGGAATCAGGAGGGCTTCATGGGTGGGGTGGCATTTGCACTGATCCACTGAGGAACCTAGACACCAATGGGCATGTCGTTCTGTGGGCAGTGAGGCGTAGGTGGCGCTTCCAAGAGAAGGCACAGAAGCAGACAGGAGTGCCGGGAACGCTCAGAGCATGTGGTGCTTTGGGCTGGAGTGCAGAGCATGCTTCTGGCACATTGGCAGCCCATGAATACTGGGCTGAAGAGTTTTTACCACTTAATAAATTAGGCAACAGGAAGTCGTTGAGAGTGTCTCACAGGGACATTTCCCTGAGAGCTGTGCATTGGTGAAATTAATCTCAGTGCTGGTTGGGATAGGTCAGTGTGAAGGTGACCTGGCTAAAGACCAGATGGGAGGTTGTTGCCTAGGTGAGAGGTCATGACGCCCTGGCCCTGGGTGACGAATGGCAGTGGGGAAGGAAAGGAGGAAATGGACTCTGGTGGCTATGAGGGTAGAGTCCTCAGGGGTGACTCAGGTGCCTGAGCCAGAGCAACCAAGATGATGCAGTGAGAGGCTGCACAGGGAGTCAGGAGGTCCAGCTCCCATGTCCACCTCACCTGGTGATCCTGGGAAAGTGACCTCACCTAGTTGGATTTCAGTTCTTTTATCTGTGAGTGGGCTTCATAACCTAACTTAGCAGTATTTGTAGAAAAAAACACTCTGAAACTGCATGAACATTGAGAATCCCCAGTTGAAGTATTTGATGGAGAGTTGAACCCTACCCTCTCCTTTTATTCTCTGCTCCTTCTTGCTCTCTGCCTTTCATTTTGTCTTAGAACTGCCCCTGGAAGCTACAGAGGAAACTAGCAAGAAGCCCACAGGAAAAAGAGCCAGGTTGATGGATAAGAACCACCTTCCCTTCTTCATCATCTTTCCTCCATTCCTGCTCCCCCCGCTCTCAGAGACCAGCCATCTATGGGGTGGGCATGTGAGTTGGGAGTGGGACATGGGGGTAGCACTCTGGTTCCTAGGGAGGAACCAGAAAATTTTAGTCTGCTCCCAAATCATTCAGAGTCTGAGAGATGGCAGAAATTCTGGAAATGAATCAGAATTGAAGTCAGCTTCAAGGCTCTGGAATCTGCAGTGGACCTGGGCCTCCACAGAGATGCGAAAACCAGCTTAGTCTCCTGAAGGTACCCTGGACTCTCTAGGGGTGGTGCATGACTTCCTCCCCTCTCCTACCCACACCCTAGCACAGGGGGTTGAAACCAATCGGGGTAATTACACAGGAAGTTGCCATAGTTTGAAGCACCAATTTCCCCCCATTCTTGAGTCCTACCACACTGTGGTACGGGTGTGTTTAGACACATTGAGAAGCTGAAGCAAAACCACCATGGCTCTCACCTCCTCCAGAAGTTTCCCACATCCCCCAGATAAGTCAAAGGAAGCAAGATGGGTCCCTAAGAACCTGAGTTTACGCCCACGGTGGACTTGACACTGAGGGGTGACAACAGAAAGAGAAGACTCTTGACCTCTTTCAACCTCTAGCTACCAGGCCAAATGAACCCAGACTTCAGCGTCCACGGAAATGTAGATCTCAGTGTGTTCTTAATCTCAGGGAGGGAGAAAATGAGGTTCTAAAATCCCTTACTTTAGTACTACACCGCCACAACAAACATAATAAATATTTGCAGAGTACCAATCATTTCTTAGGATAGCTCTCCAGAGTAGATATTATTATCTCCATTGAGCCAACTGTGGCTCAGGGAAGTTAAGTAGTTGCCCAGAATGATACCTTTTGACTCGTCCACTAAGCTACCCCACCCCATACTCTACAGCACATTGTCCATTAGAATTTTCTGCAATGATGTAAATGTTCTACATCTGTGCTGGCCAACCTCTAGCCACAGGTAGCTATTGAGTACTTGAAATGTGTATAGTGCAACTCAGGAACTGAATTTTTTTTTCATTATTTATTTATTTATGGCAGCGTTGGGTCTTCATTGCTGCACGTGGGCTCTCTCCGGTTGCAGCGAGTAGGGGCTACTCTTCGTTGCAGTACACGGGTTTCTCATTGCGGTGGCCCCTCCTGTTGCAGAGCATGGGCTCCAGGTGCGCAGGCTTCAGTAGTTGTGGCACATGAGCTCAGCAGTTGCGGCTCACGGGCTCCAGAGCGCAGGCTCAGCAGTTATGGTGCACGGGCTCAGCCGCTCTGCAGCAAGTGGGATCTTCCTGGACCAGGGCTCGAATCTGTGTCCACTGCATTGGCAGGCAGATTCCCAACCACTGTACCACCAGGGAAGTCTGTGAATTTTTAAGTTTATTCAATTTAAACATATGTTTAAATAACCATATGGGGCTGGAGGTCACCATATTGGACACAAGTCCTAGAACATAAGATATTAAAAAACCTTTGGGGGGGGGAAAAAAACCTTTGGAGAAAATTGAAATGTATATGAAGGATTCTCTGGCAGGAACTGGGTTCCTCTCTTTTGGTGGGTTTTGTACTTTCTGGTTAGGGTGATATGAAACTCCTCTAACCCCAGAATAGTTAGAAAAGCAACATCAACTCTAGATTCCAACTTGCAAAACAAGACAGAGCACTCTAGGGAATAGGAGGCATTAGAAAGTTCCCAGAGAATCAGTGTCAGAATAAGTATGCTTCCCAAGGATTCCAGAATGTCCTCAGCATTTCATTTACCCATGTTCTTTTTGTCTCTTTAACATACATAATTGCAAATCCAGGTACTTGAAAATAATCTAGACTTAGCTCCAGGAGCTAGCTAGCCATTCATCAAACAAAACAGATGGAAAGTGGAGCTAAAGGGAAGTAAAAAATAGATATAGTTTGAAGCAAAGCAGTGAGGCAGAGTGCAGCCCTGGAGGAAGAGAAAACAAGAGGAACTGGAAGGCTGATCTTGATTTCAGCTCATTCTCTAAGGTAGAGGAAGGAGAATTCTTCCTTCTTTTACCCACCAGAAGTGAGAAAGTTGGCATTTGACAAAATCGTTAAAACAAGGAGAGAAACACCAGACTGTGTGGTTATGGAGGCAGACAGTAGGGGTTGCTGGAGAAGAAGGTTTAGTTAGACTGGAACACTAGGTCATGAGTGGACTCAGACTTTCAGGTCAACTCCAGCACCAGTTAAGTCTCCTGAAAATCACTTTAATTCCATGCCAAAACAAAAGCCAATGCTTAATAGTTCACAGACCAGGTCCTCTTAAACTAAGACAATGAGGTTGTTAGTTTTTCCCTGCAATATTGATCCATTCATCCGTCCATCCATCCGTCCGTCTTCTTACACCAAGGACTCTTGACATCTACAAAATGCTTAACATTTTCCTTCGGTTTACATTGTCAGTCTTTTCAGTTTAGCTGTTTTTCTGGCAATAGGCAGCTTGAATATGTGATTTTAAATTTTTTAGTGAAAAGAAACATTTTACAAAAGCTAAACTAAAAATGAAATTAACTAACTTGAAAAGTACTTAACAGAAGCTAAGTGGCATTTCTTTCATTAGATAGTTTGCAAACTTCTGGCTGAAAGCTTTTTTACTTTTTGATAATTAATCCTTCTCCAAATCTGTTGTTTATAAATTTTACTTCATCATACATATCTATCTCTAAGGAAATGTTAGAAAACTAACATATTGTACTTTCCTCTGAACATTTCTTGGCATAGTTCACATGCCAGAAATAAACAGTGACAATCCCTAAAAGTAGCAAATACTTTAGTGTAAGGCCTTCCCAATGGCCATGTCTGAACTCCTTACCTTGGCTCCAAGATCAAGGACACTTGGCTCCACCCTCAACGCACACAATCTAGTCTTACCTCCCCTCCACCCCAGCCTACTAACTGATGTCTCTGAATTTACTCTTGCCTTCTGCAATCTGCTTCTCATGTGTCACACTCTATTTAAATCCCATTAATGGTCATATTACCCCTAGGGATAAAGACATTAATCCTCACTGTGATCCCTAAGGCCTGGCATGATTTGTCCCTTACCTACCTCTCTGACCTAACTGTACAATAGAAATAAGATGTGAGTAACAAATATGAGCCATATATAAGATTTTAAATTTCTAGTAGCCACATTAAAAAACAGAAACCAATGAAATTAATTTTATTAATATATTTTATTTAACCCCAAACCATATAAACTATTATTATTTCAACATATAATCAGTATTTTAAATAATGAGATAGTTTTATTTCTTCCCTTCCAATCTGGAAGTCTTTTACTTCATTTTTCTTGCCATATTGCACTGGCTAGAGACCCCAGAATGGTCTTCCTTGCTTCTTTCCTGATCTTAAGAGGAAAGCATTCATATTACTAAGTTTAATGTTAGCTGTGTGTTTTTCATTGATGCCCTTTATCAGGTTGGGGAAGTTCCCTTCTCCCTACCTTCCAAGTTTGCTGACAGTTTGAAAAATCAGGACTGGATGTTGAAGTCAAATGCTTTTTCTGCATCTACTGAAATGATTGTGTAGTTTTTCTTCTTTAGTACTGTACTTTAGTACTGTACTTTTTTTTCTTTAGTACTGTACTTTAGTACTGACGAATTACCTTGAATTTTGAATGTTGAACTAATCTTGTATTCTTGGAAAAGACCCATTTGGTCATGATGTATTTTCCTTTTTATATATTGTTGGATTTAACTGGCTAAAATTTTGTTGAAAAATTTTGCATCTATGTTCATGAAGGATATTGGTCTGTAGGTTTCATGTAATGTCTTTGCTTAGTTTTGGGATCAAGATAATGAGGGCTTCATGGAATAAGTTAGACAATACTCCCTCCTCTTCAATTTTCTGGAAGTTTGTGTACAATTGGTGTGATTTCTTCCTTAAATGTTTGGTAAAATCACCACTGAAGGCATCTGGGCCTGGTGTTTTCTTTATGAGAGAAATAAATGAGTTAACACATGTGAAGTAACTAGAACTGTGCTTGGCTTGTCAGAGGTGCTGAATAAATGTTAGCTTTTAATTTTTTAGAATTCATCTATATTTTCAATTAAAGTAATAAATGGTTATTACAGAACTTAAAAATATTTTTAAATTTTAAGGAAGAAGAAATCACAGTAATCCTACTAGCCAAAGGTCAGTAGTATTAACATTTTAATGCATTCTTCAGTGTTTCCTACAGGTAATTCATGCTTGTTTATATTGTTATTGTTTATATTGCTCTGTGCCTACTTTATTCACTTAATATTCAATTATTAGCATTTCCCAAGTCAGTAGAAGTTCTTAATAAATAAACTTTCAAAGGCTGTACTATTACATGGTCATACCATAATTCACTTAACCATCATTTCGTATTTTTGGAATTGTTCTACTTTCCCTGCAGAGGAGATCCAAGCACCTCTTTCCTGCACTTTCATATATATTTATATAAACACTCGTATAAACTCTAGAATATTCCCTCCAGGCCTTCCCTCTATGGTGTGCTAATAACATACACTGATAACAGCTAATGTTCATTGTGTGTTTACTATGTGCCAGGCACTGTAAGAAGGGCTTTACATTAAAAGTAGGAACCATTATTATCATCCCTATTTTACAGATGAGGAAACTGAAGTACCAAGATGTCAAGCAACTTGCCCAAGGTCACCCAGATAGAGAATGGTAAAGACAAGAAAGTCTATCAGGTTTCGCAGCCCACATGACTAACCATTAGGCAATAGGGCCTCTCAGCTTATATCTATAGACTTCTTATATGAATTCCATTCCACACCTGAGTTGCTGATCCTGAGATATTGTTTGAGTTCTTGCCCAGCTCACTTGTCCCAAACATGTGTTCTCCACCTGGATTTGGGGTACAGTTGCTAACAATTCCTTTACTTATTACCCGTTTCTTGTTCTGTAGTTATTATAGTTTCACTGCCAGCTCCTCCAGCCCGCCAGCTAGAACACCCATCATCCCAACCAGAAATTGGGACATATCATCTGATAAAAGAATTCTTTTCCCTACTTTGTAAATTTGTTTTCACGAAAAAAATGATGTATTTTAAGTGAATCATTATACAGTCAATAAAGAGACTTTATTGAAAAGAATTTAAAATAGAAGCTGCCCTAGAAAATGAAAGACACGCCAATAAAAAACAACAGGTTGTACACACTGGTAACAAAAATATACAGGTTGTCTAGTATCCTAAAACGGAAATAAAAGTATTTTCACTTCTCAACTGTAATCCTCATAAAAGGTGTTATCTCTGCCTTTGTCTAGGTCTATATTTTGTGTTGACAACTGCAATATCGTTTCAACAGCTTTTTCATGGCTATATTCTAGAAAATTAGGATAGAGAGACTTCATTACCAGAAAAGACTTTGTGTGTGTTCTGCTAAATTGAACTTTTCAATGAGTGTGTGTATTTGTGTTTGTTTTTGTCATGTCTAAACATGTCTAAACAGACCACACTCAAGAGCAGCCCGAGCTAGAACTTTTCTCCAGTTGATTCCCTCTCTGTGGTGGTCTCTAATGAACTCTCCAAAGTTACTTCCCAGGAGGAAAATGGCGTTAGAATCCTCCTCCAACAAGAAGCCTCTGGGTCCAGGGTCTTTTCCACTTCCTCACCTGTCCTCAGGTACCCGCCTTGCTTTATCATATCCGTCTTGGATCTGCCAGGAGCCGGGCACCCCACTGTATGCAGATGAGATGGACCAGAATAGTCCCCGCCTCCTCAGCTCAACGTAAGTTTAAAGTAGCAGCGTCCTTTTCCAAGTTCTGTTTTTTGTTTTTCTGTCAGGTCCCTTTAATTATGCGCAGTTTAGACTCAGATGGGTCCCGTAAGTGCAGCCATCAATCACAAATCACAAAAGACTCAAGAGTGCCGACAGACGTGGTTGCAATCTGTCTCCATTTTTGGAGAGAAAACTAATTTCGTGAACTTCACAAAGTAAATGGGTCTAAAATTTTAAAATTAGAAAAATTATCCCCTCAAGGACCCTCGTCTGGGAAGTTTTAATAGCGGTAACCTCAAGCTCGCCCAACTACTTTCAACTCTTGTTCGAGTTGAATGAGAATCAAAAGAAAAAGGACCACTGGAGATCAGGAGAAAAACTGGAGGATGCGGGCATCGATCCCGCTACCTCTCGCATGCTAAGCGAGCGCTCTACCATTTGAGCTAATCCCCCACCGCTGGCCACGGCTGCTTATCTGTTCCTCTAGAGAGAGAACAGAGCGTTTAGAAGCGAAGATAAATATTCTTGACCACATTCTTGTCCCTGTTTCATGGTTAAGGCCAAAGTAACAAAAAAAAAAAAAAAAAAGAAACCCCTCTCCTTCGAGCCGGAATCGAACCAGCGACCTAAGGATGGCTACTGACACCAGTCTACAGTCCTCCGCTCTACCAGCTGAGCTATCGAAGGGAGTGAGGGGATAAGTCCTCAACCCATCTTCATAACTTTTAGTCATTTTTCTAGGCTTCGTGTGCTTTCTACCGCGTTGCCTTCGTGATTCCCAGGTTCCTTGGGCACGAGATCCTCCTTGCGGACCTCCCAGCTCCTCACGGCAGCCGCCCCGAGCGTTCGCATCGCCGACCTTGCATGGGCTCTGAGGACTAGGTCAGGGGCCTGGCCCCGGGGAGCCGGCCGTTGGCCCGGGACGCGGCTTAGCCGTGTCGGCACTCAGGGGTTCGGGAAACGCCAAAGACGCTTTAGAAACAAGCGAAGGCCGTGACCCGGCAGCCTCCCCGCTGAGCGCAGGCTCAGTGCCCCGCTCGCTCAGAACTCGGACCGCATGTCCCCGTTTCCGGGATTCGCAAAAGATTCACACCGAGGAAGCTACGGGTTTGGACCCGTTATTTGGAAAGTAATGTGTTATCAGAGAAATCCTTATGCGGAAAGGACCATAAATCATAGGAAGCTCGACAAAAACGTCCTTGTCTCCTTCGAGCCGGAGTCGAACCAGCGACCTAAGGATGCCTCTTAAGGGTATTAACTACAGTCCTCCGCTCTACCAGCTGAGCTATCGAAGGGACGTGCAGAGCCTCTGCCCCCGCCCCCCTGAGATTCAATACCTAAGAACCAGAGCGCGCTCAACCCTTACCCAGAGATGAAACTGAGCATGCGTAATGGAGGGAGTGGGGCGCGAAGGGAGTACGTGCCCGAATGTTTTACGCGTGCGCAGAAAGACTACCCGGCTGTGGCTCGCGGAGCCTGACTGTGGTAGAAGTGAGTTCCGAACTCTCGTGTCAAGACTCAAGACTCCTCCGCGTGTCTGTCGCACTTTTTCTTTACTCCCGGTGTTAGGGGAGTTACTGTCGGGTGTGGTTTCCCTATTCTGTAACCTTTATGTCTCCTCACCCTTCGTGTGAGGGGTCCGTGGTGCAGGGTGATGCGTCCGACTACGAATCAGAGGACTGTAGGTACGATTCCTTCCAGTCTTGGCGTTTTTGTCCCCTTAGTTTTCAAAATCAGAGACTTTTACTACTTTGGGGTTCTCCCAAGCACAAATGCCGAGAGTTTACCACACCTCGAGGGCGGAGAGCCACCAGGCTTGGTTTCCGATGCCGCCTGTCGAACTTTCGAGATGTTGAGAGGTTGGCGAACACTAATAACGGGACGCCGGTAGCCGGGCGAGGAGGACGGCGCGGGGCAGAGCCGAGGAAAGGAGGGGCCGTTCCCGCGGGCTCCAGGTAGGAAGTGGGGAGGGAGCCCCAAGGTCAAGCCCGCAGTTCCCAGGACAAAGCTGGTTAATGTCGCGGGGCTGCGTCTACCGCGGCTCAGCTCGTCAGGTCTTGGAAGGTATTTGAAGACGTTGCAGTCACCCAGTTACTAAACCACGCCAGCCATGCCCGACAATGCAGAGGGAGCAAAGTTATTTACAAGGTTCTTTGGAGCCCGCTCCCATTTTACATTTCATTTAACAAACCCCTTCTTGGTTGTCAGCAGAGCAGAAAAACCGTCTAATGATTTGGGTTCTGCCCTCAAGGGCCTTTCAACCAAGAGGGCATAATGTTGGTTTGAGCAAACTGAGTTTTTATTTTTAAGTTATTAATCTTACTTGTGGAAAGGGGTTTAGAATTAGTTCTTAAGTCTCCCCAAGTAAGGTAACAGCTCCCCAAAGTAAAAGTTTTAATACAATGTGAGGATGAGTTAAGGAAGAGAAAATGCGAGGTTAGGGAAAAGGGCTAGTCATTAAGTGGGAAAGCGGCTTCCTTAAGGCCACACAAACATGGTTAAAAGGAGTTAAAAATTTAGAGGGTGGGGCAAGCACAGGCTATTTGAACGAAATGGTGAGCTTTATTTTTGTTTCATTTTGCCATTTTTCGCACGTAACAAGCCGGTAGCTCTTTAAAGTTATATAGTGTCTCCGAGAGTTAAAAAAATACTATCTCTGTGAGAGGCGGGAGAGATGTGTCGCACCCCTCCCCCGAAGTTTATGGAAAGAACCTTGTAAATTAGGCTAAGAGGAAAGGGCCTTCATTTTATTCGTACTGTCTTATTTTATAGGGTGGCAAGTCAGGCGTTTATTATCCGCAGAGGTCACTGTCGTGGCCATCACTGCACTGTGGTGGAATCCTGGCCCCTTGGTGTAACCCCTTCCTGATGCACTCTCTTCCAAAACAGCCAGCCAGATAAGAGTGACGCGTTCCAGGAGGGCCAAGATGTTTCTTGATTTCTGGCCCTCTTACTTGTGATAGAAATCCACACAGAGCTAATGTAAGCAAGTGGCATGTATTACGGTGATACAGGAGTGTCCCAGGGAAACCATGGAGGAGTGGTAACTAAGCCTCCTTGTGGTTTTCCTCAGCGCCTCTCAGCTTCTCTCTCTGCTTCCCTAGTGCACACAGTTGGAAACATGGTGCTACACCCCTCCATCCCCACTACCCTAAAAATTCCTGACCTTTATCCCTTAGTCTATTGCCGAAGATTGAATATTTAGTCCCTCCGCCTGGCCCCAAATTGATATGTTGAAAACCTAATGCCCAACTGATGGTATTAGGAGGTGGAGCCTATGGGAAGTGATTAAGTCGTGGTGTCACAGCCCTCATGAATGGGATTAGTGCCCTTATGAAAGAGGCCTCAGAGAGATGCCTCCTCTCTTCCAGTCATGTGAGCATATGGTGAGAAGGGTTGGACACATATGATTGCATCCCTCTTTCCTAGGATGCCAGTGAAAGATAATAAAGATATACAAGAAGAAAAAGTCTCCTGCCACATGGAAAACAAAGTAGGTACAATCAGCAAACCTGAGCTTTAAAATAATTTCTGGGATTGTGGAAAGCAAGTGAGATTGAATAGATACATGGCCCCAAATGGAGAAAATCACAGCTCAGAATACACGTTCTAGAAGCTTGCAGAAACAACCATTTTCCCTATGGAGCTCCGAAGAGGCTTCAGGCACAGAGGCAGCAGCTCAAAGGTCGGAGGCCCATAACAGTGTGCAGCTGCTGCAGTCTTTGCCCCAGCTGGAGCTACCTGGAGAACTGCTTAAGCCAAGTAGATTTGCCTGGGGAGAGCCTATGGGGTGAGTATAGGGCTGGGGAGAGAGGCAGAGTAGAGTCTAATAATAAGAGACCTGGAGAGAAAGAAAGGCTGCCCCACCCCACTGGCAATTAAGTTGGCAGTTTGGAGCATCTTGGGCCAGCACCATAGAAATGAAAAACCCTGCTTATCCCCAGGACCCAGGCATTTTACAAACCCCAATCAACGTAGTCCTTGATTCATGAATATGAACATATGTCTCCCAGACATTTGAGAGGAAACAAAAACAACTTAAAGTCCAAGGTGAACAAACAAAATAACTGATCCAGGAGGAAACAGATGATGCAAGGAATAATACAAAACCACTTTTTAAAATGCTAATTGATATTATCAGGGACACCAGAACAAGGTGGTATTAAAAGGAGCAAGGAGAGAAAAGTTGACTTCTTGAAAACTAAGAGTGATTGCTAAGGTGAAAAATAACACTGATTATGGCAAAAGATCAAATTTCGAGTTATGGAAGATAGAATGGAAAATATCTCCCAGGACACCAGAATAGAGAGAGCAGAAACTATACACCTAAAAGCATGGCGGATAGACCCAGAAGACACAATGGCTATCTAGTCAGAGTTCCAGAAAGGGAAAGCAGAGACAATGTAAGGAAAGGAATGTGAGAAAGACATTAGTTATTGAAAGGGCCATACAAGTAGGATGAATGAAAAACAGCTGTGTCTGGACACAGCCTAGTGGAATTTTAAAGCATTGAGGATAAAGATGAAACCCCCAAAGCTTTCACAGATGGGGAAGAAACAAACAGAAAAACAGGCTAGCTACAAAGGAATGAGAATCAGATTATGATCAGATTTCTTATCAGAAGTACTGGATGCTAGAATACAGTAGAGCAAGGCCTTCCAATTTCTGTGGGGAAATAATTTTGAACCTAGAATTGTATAACCAATCAAAGTAGCGATCACATATGAGGACAAATAGATAATTCACACAAAGTCTCAAAGTTTAAATCCCGTGATTCCTTTCTGAAACAAATTTTTTAAAAAAATATTACTTGAGGTTCTTATAATGATTGGTTTCTCCAGGAAGCAGAAGCTGACACAGAATTAGAGTACAAAAGTTTACTGGACGGTAACATCCGTGAACAGAAAAGGGGAAGACACAGTATTGGGTGGGGGTAGCCATCAGACAGTGACGCAGACCTGACAAAGTCTCTGCCAGCCCCCTTGGTAGCTGCAGAGCAGATTTCCCTTTAGTGGAGTCCTGAGTGGGGCAGAAATGGCTAGGCCCTTATACAACCTCCTTGTCAGAAGCTGACAACCTTGGCCAGGAAACTGAGGTGAATCCTGAAGAAGTTAACACCAGGAGGCTCTCAGTTAACCATCCTCCTTGCAGCTGGGCAGTGAGTCCTTTCTGGAAAGGCAGTCTAGGAGCAAATACTCTATGTCTGCCACAGATGTACTTCATCAAAACAAGAATCCAAGAAAGAGGAGTACCCAGGATTTAAAAAGAAGAAAGGGACCAACTCAGGAACTCAATGTAAATCCCAGATTAACAGTGATGCAGCAAGCCAAGAAAGCAATCAGGAAGAATTAGGAAAAAACAGAAGAGGTCAGAGGGCTCTAGGAAGATGATCTTTGAAGAAGAAAATGGATTCTTTCACAGTGAATGTGACGAAGGACCAGGAAGAGCTTAGGGATGTGATAAAGGAATGTTGATTTTCTCAGAAAGCAAACCAAAACTAGGAATTTCTAAAAAAGTACATAGAGCTTCATAAAAAACTCATGGTCCAAATATACGGCAAACTGAAAACTGGCATGATTTTGAGAAATTGATGATCTGTGTTGTGGGCTAACGTATCCCCCCCCCCCACTTATATTGAACCTCGAACTTTCAGAATGTGACTATACTTGGAGATAGGGCCTTTAAAGAGACAATTAAAATGGGGTTGTTAGCGTGGGTCCTCATCCACTTTGACTAGTGTCCTTATAACATGAGGATATAGGGAGAGGGAGAGACACCAGACACACAGACAACCATGTGAACACACGGCAAGAAGGCACGCACCTGCAAGCCCGGGAGAGAGGCCTCAGAAGAAACCAAGCCTGCTGACATCTTGGTCTTGGACCTCTTGCCTCCACAACGGTGAGAAAACAAACTGTTGTTTAAGCCACCCAGTCTGTGGTATTTTGTTATGGTAACCCTAGCAAATGAATACAGGCACGGTGAGGAAAGAGAAGTTTGCTTTCTTTTCTGCATCCATTGGTATGGTTTCCATGTTTGTTTGACCACATGCAAACACTTGTGGGGCAGACAGTCCCATAGTTGTCATCTAATACAGCATTTAATAACAGTTGCATTTATTTATTTGTTTATTTGGTAGTGTTTGTAAATGCTTGGCATTCTCGTTATTAGCAATACAGTGTTTTTGCATTCTTTTTTTGAATTTTTGAAGTTATTTTATTATTTTTTATACAGCAGGTTGTTATTGGTTATCTATTTTATACATATTAGTGAATACATGTCAATCCCACTCTCCCAATTCATCCCACCACCACCACCCCCAACACTTGCCCCTGCTTTCCCCCCTTGGTGTCCATACGTTTGTTCTCTACATCTGTGTCTCTGTTTCTGCCGTGCAAACCGGTTCATCTGTACCATTTTCCTAGGTTCCACATACATGCGTTAATATACAATATTTGTTTTTCTGTTTCTGACTTACTTCACTCTGTATGACAGTCTCTAGATCCATCCACGTCTCTACAAATGACCCAGTTTCGTTCCTTCTTATGGCTGAGTAATATTCCATTGTATATGTGTACCACATCTTCTTTAACTATTTGTCTGTCGATGGGCATTTAGGTTGCTTGCATGACCTGGCTATTGTAAATAGTGCTGCAATGAACACTGGGGTGCATGTGTCTTTTTGAATTATGGTTTTCTCAGGGTATATGCCCGGTAGTGGGATTGCTGGGTCATATGGTAATTCTATTTTTAGATTTTTAAGGAACCTCCATACTGTTCTTCATAGTGGCTGTATCAATTTACATTCCCACCAACAGTGCAAGAGGGGTCCCTTTTCTCCACACCCTCTCCAGCATTTGTTGTTTGTAGATTTTCTGACGATGTCCATTCTAACCGGTATGAGGTGATATCTCATTGTAGTTTGATTTGCATTTCTCTAATGATTCGTGCTGCTGAGCAGCTTTTCATGTGCCTCTTGGCCATCTGTATGTCTTCTTTGGAGAAATGTCTATTTAGGTCTTCTGCCCATTTTTGAATTGGGTTGTTTGTTTTTTTAATATTGAGCTGCATGAGCTGTTTATATATTTTGGAGATTAACTCTTTGTCTGTTGACTCATTTGCAAATATTTTCTCCCATTCTGAGGGTTGTCTTTTCGTCTTGTTTATAGTTTCCCTTGCTGTACAAAAGCTTTTAAGTTTCATTAGGTCCCATTTGTTTATTTTTTTTTTCCCATTACTCTAGGAGATGGGTCAAGAAAGATCTTGCTGTGATTTATGTCCAAGAGTGTTCTTCTTATGTTTTCCTCTAAGAGTTTTATAGTGTCTGGTCTTACCTTTAGGTCTCTAATCCATTTTGAGTTCATTTTTGTGTATGGTGTTAGGGAGTGTTCTGATTTCATTCTTTTACATGTAGCTGTCCAGTTTTCCCAGCACCACTTATTGAAGAGACTGTCTTTTCTCCATTGTATATCCTTGCCTCTTTTGTCATAGATTAATTGACCATAGGTGTGTGGGTTTATCTCTGGGCTTTCTATCCTGTTCCATTGATCTATATTTCTGTTTTTGTGCCCGTACCATATTGTCTTGATTACTGTAGCTTTGTAGTATAGTCTGAAGTCAGGGAGTCTGATTCCTCCAGCTCTGTTTTTCTTTCTCAAGATTGCTTTTGCTATTTGGGGTCTTTTGTGTCTCCATACAAATTATATGATTTTTTGTTTTAGTTCTGTAAAAAATGCCGCTGGTAATTTTATAGGGATTGCATTCAATCTGTAGTTTGCTTTGGGTAGTATAGTCATTTTCACAATATTGATGCTTCCAATCCAAGAACATGGTATATCTCTCCATCTGTTTGTGTCATCTTTGATTTCTTTCATCAGTGTCTTATAGGTTTTTTTTAAATTTTATTTATTTATTTTGGCTGCGTTGGGTCTTTGTTGCTGCGCATGGGCCCTCTCCAGTTGCGGCCAGCAGTGGCCACTCTTTGCTGTGGTGCATGGGCTTTTCATCATGGTGGCCTCTCTTGTTGTGGAGCACGGCTCTAGGCACACGGGCTTCAGTAGCTGTGATGCACGGGCCTAGTTGCTCCACGGCATCCTCCCGGACCAGGGCTCGAACCTGTGTCCCCTGCATTGGCAGGTGGACTTAACCACTGTGTCACCAGGGAAGCCTGTCTTATAGTTTTCTGAGCACAGGTCTTTTACCTCCTGAGGTAGGTTTATTCTTAGGTATTTTATTCTTTTTTTTGCAATGGTAATGGCTTTGTTTCCCAAATTTCTCTTTCTGATCTTTCGTTGTAAGTGTATAGGAATGCAAGAGATTTCTGTGCATTAATTTTGTATCCTGCAACTTTACCACATTCACTGATTAGCTCTAGTAGTTTTCTGGTGGCATCTTTAGGATTCTTTAGTATAGTATAATGTCATCTGGAAACAGTGACAGTTTTACTTCTTTTCCAATTTGTATTCCTTTTATTTCTTTTTCTTCTCTAATTGCCGTGGCTAGGACTTCCAAAACTATGTTGAATAATAGTGGCAAGAGTGGACATCCTTGTCTTGTTTCTGATCTTAGAGGAAATGCTTTCAGTTTTTCACCATTGTGTTTGTCCTATATGGCCTTTATTATGTTGCGGTAGGTTCCCTCTGTGCCCACCTTCTGGAGAGTTTTTATCATAAATGGGTGTTGAATTTTGTCAAAAGGTTTTTCTGCATCTATTGAGATGATCATACGGGTTTTATTCTTCAATTTGTTAAAATGGTGTATCACATTGATTGATTTGCATATATTGAAGAA